GAGCCACCGCGCCCAGCCTTCCAATCTTTTGTTATTCAAAGCAATGCCCTGAGTAACTTTGTAGATATGCCTTTCTTCACATTGGCCTGTATACCTACAGGATAAATTTCCAAAAAAAAAAAAAGGCTGTTCCATCAAATGATGGGTGTGTGTGTGTGTGTGTGTGTGTGTGTGTGTTTGTGTATCTGTCATTTTCATAGATATTACACAAGTGCCACTATGGAGACTGAAATCAATTCACGCTCCTGTAAGCAATGTATGAGAGAGACTGTTTCCCCATATTCTCACCAGTACTATTATCAACATTTAGGTTTCTGCTAACCCAGTAGATGACAACTGGCATCTACTGTTGTCAGTTGTTAGTTTTAATTTGAATGTTTATTCCTATTCATAAAGTTGACCATTTGCCAACTTATCCAATATGCTGAAGAATAACAACGTGACAAGGAGAAAGTATCTGATAAGGAAGCTGATTCTAAATGTCATACTGGGAAGAGGTCCTCCTTACGGTTGTGGCGCTTATTTAAAGTGTTCAACTGTGCTAAAACCATTAGACCATCGGATTGGCTGAGCAATGTTAGAATGTAAAAGGAAGCTCACTGACCAGCCACCAAACTCAATGGCCAGGTCAAGCTTTTCCTTAAGGGATCTTCCCTGTCCTGGGGTAAAGAGTGATTATCCAAGAAATATTCATTCAGTAATTTTTTTTTTTTTTTTGAGATGGAGTTTCGCTCTTGTTACCCAGGCTGGAGTGCAATGGCGTGAGCTTGGCTCACCGCAACCTCCGCCTCCTGGGTTCAGGCAATTCTGCTGCCTCAGCCTCCTGAGTAGGTGGGATTACAGGCACGCGCCACCATGCCCAGCAAATTTTTTTTATTTTTTAGTAGAGACGGGGTTTCACCGTGTTGACCAGGATGGTCTCGATCTCTTGACATCACGATCCACCTGCCTCGGCCTCCCAAAGTGCTGGGATTACAGGCGTGAGCCACCATGCCTGGCCCTCATTCAGTAATTATTGAGGGCTTTTATGGTCTTACAATCCAGTGAAGGGAGACAGAAAATAAACATAATAAATAAATTCAATCACATGACTTCTTAGATGGTGATAGGTGCTATGGTGAATAAGACGACTGGATATAGGGACCAGTAGTGGTCAGGTGCAATTTTTAAAAAGAGTGATCAGAGGCCAGGTGCAGTGGCTCACACCTGTAATCCCAGCACTTTGGGAGGCACAGGCAGGCGGATCACCTGAGATCAGCCTAACCAACATGGAGAAACCACATCTCTACTAGAAATACACAATTTGCCAGGCTTGGTGGTCCATGGCTATAATCTCAGGTACTGAGGAGGCTGAGGTAGAATTCTTGAATCCAGAAGGTAGAGGTTGTGGTGAGCCGAAATCGCACCATTGCATTCCAGCCTAGGCAACGAGTGACACTCCATCTCAAAAAATATTTTTCTTAATAAAAAATAGGCTGGACATGGTGACTCACACCTGTAATCCCAGCACTTCGGGAGACTGAGGCGGGCAGATGACAAGGTTACAAGTTTAAGACCAGCCTGGCCAACATAGTGAAACCCCATATCTATTACAAATACAAAAAAGTAATTGGGTGTGGTGGTGAGTGCCTGCAATCCCAGCTACTTGGGAGGCTGAGGCAGGAGAATCACTTGAACCCAAAAGGCAGAGGTTGCAGTGAGCCAAGATCATGCCACTGTACTCTAGCCTGGGCAACAGTGGGAGATTCTGTCTCAAAAACTAAAAATAAATAAACAAAAAATAAAGAGTGATGGGGCAGGTCTCATCACGATAATAACATTTAAACAAAGGAGGTAAGTGAAAAAGTCTGCAGGATGGTAACATTCGAACAAAGCAGGTAAGTGAAAAATAGCTGCAGGAAGAACACCTGGGAGAGGAAACAGCCACTGCAAAGGTCTTGAGAAGGAGGGGTGCTTGATGCGTTTAAGGCACAGGAAGGCCAGTGTGGTTGAAGGGAAGTACAAAGAAAAGGGGTAGAGGAGAGGAGGAGGTGATGAGCTAAGAGATAAGGTCAGCCTGGCAGGGGGGTGCACACTTTTAATCCCAAGTACTCAGGAGGCTGAAGTGGGGGGATTGCTTGAGTTCTGGAGTTCAAGACCAGCCTGGGTGACATAGCAAGACCCCATCGCAGAAAAAAAAAAAACAGATAAGGTTGAATATTTCAGGGCCAGTGGATGAATATAGAGTTACTTCCATCACTTCTCTATGTTTGGTTCTTTTATTTTGTTGAGAAAGAGTCTCACTCAGTCACCCAGCCTGGAGTGCAGTGGCACAATCTCAATTCACTACAAGCTCTGCCTCCCAGGTTCAAGTGATTCTCATGCCTCAGCCTCCCAAGTAGTTGGGACCACAGGCATGCACCACCACGCCCAGCTAATTTTTTGTATTTTTTAGTAGAAACCACGCCCAGCCTTCTTCTCTCTGTGTGGTTCTTATCCACATCCTGCTGCTGCACCAAGGACTTGTGTTCTAGGAGGAGGCAGAGGCCATCCAGTACTCTAGCTGCTCAGATAAGCAGATGGCAAACAACCCAAAAGCCCCAGGCACAAGGGAGCCATCAATATATGTGTTTGTTGTGGGTTGGCTGAGAACTCCTGGCAACAAGAGGGCAATTCCATGTCTTTTTCTCCTGTCATTCTGCTTTTCCTGAAGGCTTCCTTGTTAAATTTTAAGCCCCTTCCTTGTAGTGCCTGTGGTTCACCTTGTCAGTTTATTTCCCCATTTCTGAATGTTTCCCATTTCAACTTCACCTTGGAGTGATGTTAATCACAGCTACATCAGACACCTCCACGAACATTCAAAACTTGCCTTTGACAGCCTGGCCAATGCATGTCACATATTATCTGTCCTCAACTTTCAGATCCGGGACAGACATGGCTACTATTTTCTCAATAAGAAGCACTGCAGGTGGCTCACACCTGTAATCCCAGCACTTTGGGAGGTCAAGGTGAGTGGATCACCTGAGGTCAGGAGTTCAAGACCAGCCTGATCAACATGGTGAAACCCTGTTTCTACTAAAAAGACAAAAAATTAGCCAAGCATGGTGGCTCATGCCTGTAATCCCAGCTACTCGGGAGGCTGAGGCTGAAGTGAGCAAAGATAGTGCCATTGCACTCCAGCCTGGGCAACAAGAGCAAAACTCCATCTCCAAAAAAAAAAAAAAAAAGAAGAAGAAATGTGGGCTGGGCATGGTGGCTCATGTTTGTAATCCTAGCACATTGGGAGGCTAAGGCAGTTGGATCATCTGAGGTCAGGAGTTTGAGACCAGCCTGGCCAACACGGTGAAATCCCATCTCTACTAAACATACCAAAAAAAGGGGCCAGGCACAGTGGCTTACACCTGTAATCCCAGCACTTTCAGAAGCCCAGGAGGGCGGATCATGAAGCCAGGAGTTCGAGACCAGCCTGGCCAACATGGTGAAACTTTGCCTCTACTAAAAATACAAAAATTAGCCAGGCGTGGTTGCACGTGCCTGCTGTACCAGCTACTCCAGAGGCTGAGGCAGAAGAATCACATGAACCCTGGAGGCAGAGGCTGCAGTGAGCCGAGATCATACCACTGAACTCCAGCCTGGGCGACAGAGAGAGATCTGTCTCCAAAAAAATACAAAAATATTAAAGAGGCCAGGTGCAGTGGCTTACACCTGTCTCCAGCGCTTTGGGAGGTCGAGGCAGGTGGATCACATGGTCAGGAGTTTGAGACCAGCGTGACCAACATGGTGAAACTTTGTCTCTACTAAAAATACAAAAATTAGCCTGGTGTGGTGGCACGCGCCTGTAATCCCAGCTACTCAGGAGGCTGAGGTGGGAGAATCGCTTGAATCCGAAATGCAGAGGTTGTAGTGAGCTGAGATTGTGCCACTACTCTCCAGTCTGGGTGAGACTCCATCTCAAAAAAAAAAAGAAATTAATTGGGTATGGTGGTGTATACTTGTAATCCTAGCTACTTGGGAGACTAAGGCAGGAGAGTTGCTTGAACACAGGAGGAAGAGGTTGCAGTGAGCTGAGATCACACTATTGCACTCCAGCCTGGGCAACAGAGTGAGATGCCATCTCTACAAATACAAAAAAGAAAAAAAAATTAGCTGGGCATGGTAGTGCGTGCCTATCTACAGTCTCCAGCTATTCAGGAGGCTGAGGTAGGAGGATCAGTTGAGCCCAGGAGGTCGAGGGTGCAGTGAGCTTGATCCCACCACTGCATTCCAGACTGCGCAACAGAGTGAGACTTTGTCTGAAAGAAAAAAAAGCAGCACTTCAGGTAAGCAGGTCTTTACTTTTACACGAGTCTAGAAGGATCTATTCTGCCTTCGAAGCAAGATGATGGTGCTTAAGCCTGAGATGTGTCATGAGAAACCAAGCCCACATTTCTTCCAAGTATAATACCAGACGCGGGGGCTAGGCATAGTGGCTCACACCTGTAATCCCAACACTTTGTCACTTTGGGAGGTCAAAGCAGGAGGATTGCTTGAGCCCAGGAGTTTAAGACCAGCCTGGGCAATACAATGAAAACTTGTCTCTACTGAAAATTTTTAAAAATAATTAAAAAATGGAAAAAAAAAAAAAAACCAAAAGGCCAGATGGGAAAGTCTCCTTGATACACGGAACATCTTCTTTCATAGGCAAAACCACCACCATTGCTGCAAATTTGCTTCTATGCAGTATTCTACCTATTGCTCTCTTCCTTGAATCTTTTAATGCTAGTCCCGCTGGGAACTGTGGCTCACACTTGTAATCCCAGCAGTTTGGGAGGCCAAGGCAGGAGGATCGTTTGAAGCCAGGAGCTGGAGCGCAGCCTGACCAACATAATAAAACTCTGTCTCTATTAAAAATACACCCTTCCCCCCCACCAAAAAAAAACGACAAAAACCACAGAACATTGTTCACCAGACAGAATGGCTGCAGGGAAGAAGACGCCCTACATTTTCTATCATAGCAGTAACAAAACTTGGGTGTCACCAACCTTATCATCTGTTCAGCAACCAATGCAGGTCCAGAGGGGTGGATGGTTCTAACGTGTTAACGAATCCTGCCGCTATAAGAAAGGCACTGCGCTGGAACCCACATGAGGAGGATCAGGCCATTGTCCCTGGCCTGATTGTCCCTGGCATTGAAGTGCCTCTATGGAAAGGTAGAGGCCAAGGCACAGAAAAAGTGAATGGGTCAAATAACACAAAAAATGTCACAAGTTGTTGACAAGCTGAGGGCTTTGGGGTCACAGTGCCCAGAGGTGTCTGGTGCAGCTCCAGAGAATTTAACCCAGGGACCGGGAGGCGGCACAGTGCTGCTTTCCCACATGGCTGGGTGTGAATTCCGCTCCTACCATTAACTAGTGTGACCTCAGAGTCACGTTGATTTTATTTCTTTTTTTTTTAATTTTTTTTATTTTCATTTTTTTTATTGCATTTTAGGTTTTGGGGTACATGTGCAGAACATGCAAGATAGTTGCATAGGTATCAGCTTTCCATCACGGTTCCCTTGCAGGAAAAATGAGCCCAAACAACCACTTCAAGGGATGTGGGGATGCAGAAGCGAAAATAGTGGCTGTTTAGCATATACCTGGATCTACCTCTTGTCCAGTAAATATCATCCGTCAGGACTCATCTTGTTTCAATATCGCCAAAGAACGTCCTACTGAGATTCTGTCCCATACATACCCCGACTGAAAGCTCTACGATCTATCCCGAACCCCTCCTGGTGCCACCCTGTTCCGTGCTCCGGGTACAGGCAGAGGTGCTCAACGCCGTACCCGCTGCCTCCCTAAACACCCCAGGCTGCGGGGAGCACCTCTCCTCCTGCTCACACCTCGACCTGACCGCAGTACGCCCTCAGCTGGGTCCGGACGCCTTCCCTCCCCATCGGCAGCGCTCCCTTTGGCGCCTGCGCCCGGAGCCCTGGCGCCCACCCTGCCTCTCACCTGATATAGGGGAGGAAGGGGCTGACGTGCCTGGAGAGCACAGCCGCCACATAGGAGATGATGAAGGCGGCCGACGAGCAGGTCACCAACAGGAAGGGGAGGAAAGCCATTCCCCTGAGGAAGCACAGCATCGCGCCGCCGCCGCCGCCGCCGCGGAGAGAGCGCTGCGCTCAGCTGCGCCGGGCGCCGGGTCGCTCCGGGCTGCCTGTAGGCGGCGGCCGGGCGCGGAAGGTCATGGGCCGCGGGACAGGAAGGCTCCGCGACGGGTGGGGCAGGCCCAGCACGGGAGGGAAAGCGCGAAGAGCGGAGCGAGGCGGCCGGCGGCGGGCGGCAGGCGGCGAGGCGGCCGGGCGAGGGTGGGTGAGTTGCGGGCGGCCTGGGCTTGTTGCGAAACGAGTGAAGTCACAAAGCTGCCCGGCCGGGTCGGAGGCGCGCAGCGACCTCCCCGGGGACGCGACGCCGGAGCCGCCGGAGGGTACGCGGGGGTCGGGTTCCTTTCGCTTTTGGTTTGGAGACTCGGCGGAGCCGGGTTGGGCGCGGGGGTGCAGCGTGGGGTCACTGGCGGGGACTTCCCACCCCGGCCTGACTGCGCTGGCTCTTGCGCAACTCCAGAGAAAAGGATTTATTTCTCGCAACCCCTCCTTCCCGGGGAGTTTCCAGAGTGCCGGGTCTCGCACCCCGAGGGCGCCCCCTCCGAGGTCCAGCCACCAGCTTATCGCGGCGGAGTGGCCACCCGGTGGTGACACCCACGCCATCCAGTCTCGCTGCTGCTGCCGGGGTCGGGCAGAAGTGTTCAGTGACGTTCGCCAGGCCATGGGCGCAGATGTGGCTCCCACCTCAATGGTGAACCCCGAAAACCCAGATGGTAGGAACCGGTGGGGTGGCGGATAGGTGGATGGGGTCCGGGGCAGGCGGGTGGGACTGCGCTCCCACGGAGCCAGGAGGGCCATTGTGCTGCTTTCCAGCAGAGCGCAGCTACAGAGTATTTGCTGGAAATAAGATTTCCAAGGCCGGGCACCGTGAATGCCATCACATTGGGAGGCATCCAAAAGCCATCACTCCTGGAATGCCATCACATTGGGAGGCCGAGGTGGGAGGATCGCTTAAGCCCAAGAACTAGAGATCAGCCTTAGTAACATAACGAAACCCCACTTAAAAAAAAAAAAATTAACAGCCGGTTCCAGTTACTCAAGAGGCTGAGTTGGGGGCATAACTTGAGCCTTGAGGGTGGAGGCTGCAGTGAGCCTTGATCACATCACTTCACTCCTGCCTGGGTAACAGTGCAGGACCTTGTCTCAAACAAACAAACAAAATTCCCTTTCTTCCCTCAGGTTTCTGGAGTAGCCCAGACTTGGAGCCTTGACTTAAGATATTAATGATGACTTGATACATTTCCAGCCCTGTGAAAGGAATTTGTGTTCTGGAGGTGCTTATAAGCACTTGATTTTAGTAGTTTAGGGAGTCTGAGCCCAACACATGTGACCAAAGTTTTTGGGTCATTGGTGACCAAAGGTAGGTTTCTTTCAGACACATAAACATTTCATGGTGCCAGGCTAAGCTACGAAGATGAAATGGTAATAGTATCCTCAGGACCAGGGCACTGATAGATCAAAATAATAAGATTAGTCCAGGCTAATTTTACTAGACTCACGCCGGTAATCTCAGCACTTTGGGAGACTGAGGTGGGTAGATCACCTGAGGTCAGGAATTCGAGACCAGCCTGGCCAACATCGTGAAACTCCATCTCTACTTAATATACAAAAGATAGGCCGGGCGCGGTGGTTCACACCTATAATCCCAGCACTTTGGGAGGCCGAGGCGGGTGGATCATGAGGTCAAGAGATCGAGACCATCCTGGTCAACAAGGTGAAACCCTGTCTCTACTAAAAATGCAAAAATTAGCTGGGCATGGTGGTGTGTGCCTGTAGTCCCAGCTACTCCGGAGGCTGAGGCAGGAAAATTGCTTGAACCCAGAAGGCAGAGGTTGCAGTGAGCTGAGATTGTGCCATTGCACTCCAGTCTGGGTAACAACAGCGAAACTCCGTCTCAAAAAAAAAAAAGATTAGCCAGGTGCGGTGGCGGGCATCTGTAATCCCAGCTACTCAGGGGGCTGAAGCAGGAGAATTGCTTGAACCCAGGAGGTGGAGGTTTTCTAAGCGAGCTGAGATCCTACCACTACACTCCAGCTTGGGGACAGAGCAAGAGTCTGTCTCAAAATAAATAAATAAATAAAAACAAAATAACAAAATTGGCTGGGTGTGGTGGTTCACACCTGTATCCCCAGCCCTTTGGGAGGCTAAGGCAGACAAATCACAAGGTCAGGAGTTCGAGACCAGCCTGGCCAAGATGGTGAAACTCGTTTCTACTAAAAATACAAAAATTAGCCAGCCGTGGTGGTGAGCACCTGTTGTCCCAGCTACTCAGGGGGCTGAGGCAGGAGAATTGCTTGAACTTGGGAATCAGAGGTTGCAGTGAGCCAAGATTGTGCCACTGCACTCCACCCTGGGCAACAGAGTGAGACTCTGCCAAAAAAAAAAATTATGTGGTATATTAAATGGAAAGGAGAGGATTTGATTTAAAAATCAAAGCAGAGACATGCCCAGAGCTAAAGGCCAGGGGCCCGGCCTCAGATGAAGGACCAGGGAGGTTTTCTGACAGATGACGTTAGTGTTTTCAAGAGGAAATAATTATTAACCAGGCAAAGAAAAATGAGCTTAGCATTCCAGGCCCAGAAAACAACAGGAGGAAATGCATAGACAGAGCTTGCTTTCCTGGGACTATGAAAGCACTTAAATAAGTTCGAGGCAGCAAATGGAGATAGAAACAGAGGCCAGTCTACCAGAGCCCTGCTGAGAATCTTGGATTATTTTTGGTATTAAGGAAAGAGTAGGAACATGGGCAGACAAGTATTTCAAGAAATCATTGTGGCTGTGGAGTGAGTGCCCACCATACAAAACAAAGCAGAAAATTTAAATTAAAGCTTTTTAAAAATCACAAAACCTGGCCAGGCATGGTAGCTCACAGTCCTATAATCCCAGCACTTTGGGAGGTTGATGCCTGGGCAATATAGTGAGACCTACTCGCCATACCTACAAAAAAATTTAAAAATTAGTTGGGCGTGGTGGCCCATAACCTTTGGTTCCAGCTACAGGAGAGGCTTAAGTGGGAGGATCACTTGGACCAGAGTTTGAGGCTGCAGTGAGCTATGATCACACCACTGAACTCCATCCTGGACCACAGATTGAGACTCTATTTCAAAAATAAATAAATAAAAATTTTAAAATGGCCAGGTGCAATATAATCCCAGTACTTTGGGAAGCTGAGGCAGGCAGATGACCTGATACTGGGAGGTCAAGACCAGCCTGGCCAATATGGTGAAGTCCCGTCTCTACTAAAAATACAAAAATAGCTGGGCCTGGTGGTACACACCTGTAATCCCAGCTACTCAGGAGACTAAGGCATGAGAATTACTTGAATCGGGGAGGCAGAGATTGCAGTGAGCTGAGATTTCACCACTGCACTCCAGCCTGGGCACTAGAGCGAGAACCTCTCAAAAAATAATAATAATTAAATAAAATCTAAAAATAAAAAATATGCCAGGCATGGTGGCTCACGCCTGTAATCCCAGCACTTTGGGAGGCTGAGGTCAGCGGATCACCTGAGGTCAGGAGTTCGAGACCAGCCTGACCAATATGGTGAAACCCCATCTTTAAAAAAATAAAATAAAATAAATAAATAAAAATCACAAAAGCTAGCAACCATGGTTTCATTGTAATCTCTAGCTAGGTTTGTGTGTTCTGAAAATTACTCTATTCCTTCCCTTTTTTTCCTTTCCTGCTCTACCACTGATTCATCAGATTAAAAAAAAAAAACAAAAACAAAAAAACTTCGTAAGCAGAGGAATTATAACATCAAAGGGAATTCACCTGATCATCTTAACCTTCTATTTCCTTAATTAAGCAATTCAATTGGCTAATCACTTTTAACACAAATGTAAGAGTTGTCTGACTATAAAGATAAGAATTTGTTGCTTAAGATGAGTATGTATACATATATATTTAAAATAAATACACTATAAATGTAAAAGTTCTGCAATTTTTTTTTTTTGTTTTATGTAGAGTCTCACTCTGTCACCCAGGCTGGAGTGGGGTAGTACAGTCTTGGCTCACTGCAAACTCTGCCTCCTGGGTTCAAGTCATTCGTGTGCCTTAGCCTCCCAAGTAGCTGGGACTACAGGAATGCACCACCATGTCCAGCTAACTTTTTTGTTTTGTTTTGTTTTGTTTTGAGATGGAGTCTTGCTCCAGCTGTGCAGGCTGGAGTGCAGTGGCATGATCTCAGCTCACTGCAACCTTCACCTCCCAGATTCAAGATATTTTCCTTCTTTAGCCTCTTGAGTAGCTGGGATTACAGGCATGTGCCACTATGCCCAGCTAATTTTTGTATTTTTAGCAGAGACGGGGTTTCGCCGTGTTGGCCAGGCTGGTCTTGAACTCTTGACCTTAGGTAATCACCCGCGTTGGCCCCCCAAAGTCCTAGGATTACAGGTGTGAGCCCAGCCAATTATTGTATTTTTAATAGAGATGGGATTTTGCCTTGTGGGCCAATGTGGTCTCAAACTCCTGGCCTCATGTGGTCCGCTCACCCTGGCTTCCCCACATGCTGGGCTTATAGGAGTGAGCCACTGTACCCGGCCAAAAGTCTAGAATTAAGAAAGAAAGAGAGCGGGAGAGGAAGGGAGGGAGGGGAAAAAAAAGAAAAAGAAAGAAAAGGAAGGAAGAAGGGAGGGAGGGAGGAAAGGAAGGAAGGAAAGAAAAAATTAAAATAGGTACAGGCACACCTTGCTTTATTGAAGATTGAAGGTCTGTGGCAATCCTGCCTCAAACAAGTCTATCAGCACTATTTTTCCAATAGTATGTGCCCACTTTCATGTCTCTGTGTCATAGTTGAATAATTCTCCCAGCATTTCAAACTTTATTATTATATCTGTTATG